TCTTTCCTTTCATTATACGCAGATCGTGAGCACTGTGGTAGGTTGAATCTCTTATCTGATAAATTTGTGATAATGTAGGACAAGTAAAACCAAACGAACGCTTGCCTTTGGATATTTTTAAAAATGTATATCTCTACGAATTTTTGTTTAATTATCTAACGTCACGCTACTGTGAAAAGAGAAAAAAAAGGAAACAAGTACTCACTGTAAAAGAGCAGATTAAATAAATTTCACTGGAGGATAAGAATAACGGATTTCAAATAATCGACACGCGAACAGTTAGAGACTGTTCCAATACTGCTTTTTGTTCGAACGTATGCCTAGAATTCGTGCTTTCCCCCACGCATCGTCAAAGATCACGACCAGAAATCGTAATCAAGATGGTCTAAGTAAGCTAAAGGTTATCACATGTACAGAATTCGAGGGATCCTCGAGGGATTCCTCTTTCTCCACTGCTTTCCGGCCTGCAAAGGATATCCACCAAGCGGCTAAAAATAAAATTATTTAACTCGTCTTGCCACGAATGAACTTCCCTTCTTCGACTGATTCATCCGATCTAGACTTCGCCGTAATCGTTTGAATCATCATAGAACTGGGATTATCCGACCGACGATAATTTGAGATTAAAACTAGAACAAAGTCATAGAAATGATCGCTCATCGGTATAATTTTCCCTAGAATTCTTTCAGATTTAAATAATTCTACATTTCCTAAAATATAAGCTTATAAATCATTTCTTTCAAAAATCATCTCGTACCTCGTGCCTTGTTCTCGAGCGTCTTTTTTAAAACTTTTGGAGCACATCTACGTCCGTGTTTTCACGTCTTAATCCGATCGTTCTGCTCCAGCAAGGACCGACGCATGGCGAATTGGAGATAATATGAAATTCACGAAGCGTAAAGGTAGTTCAATTCGTTTCTATTTCGACGGGAAGTTGCTGCTTTACGCTGAACGCAATGCTATAATGTGTCAGCTTCGGCTGTTCTTACTAGCCGGCGTTTGGTAATGTCTATTACTACGTTCTAACATGCGGCGATCGCGTAGGCGTCAGCTACATAATTTATTTTACGCATCTCGTTACACAATACGCTAACCAGATACGTACATATGTGTTCACGTAGTTACACACATGTCGCCCCGCTCTTGGCGATTGTCAGGAGTAAACAAATATTCCGCTTGCCGACAATCGTCTGTGAACACAGAATATACATGAAATGTAATCGGTTGTAATTTATAGTTATCTTAACTTAATAATATCAAGTTCATTTTTGATTATTTTGACAACGTTTCTTTCAATTACAAAAGAAGGCACGATTTATACGCGGTGAGGGGGGTGGGGGAGGGAAGAAAAAAGAAGAAGAAGAAAATTTTGTTCATTCATTCTTAAAGAAGGAGTCATGTCTCGAGGTGTTCCACAGATAAGAGTACTTTTAGAGGGTCAGGAGTTCTAAATTTAGATCTTGTATATGTTCGACCGTACCGTTTGTTCCAAAATTTAGGTAATCAGGCCTATATCTTTGGATAACTTGTCATCCATTAAAAATAGAAATTACTTCGGCGAGATTGAGCGACTCAATCTCTAGACAATGTATAGAAATAGAACGATTTTACAGTTCACTTCTTGTCACGGTTCTCGTACGCCTATACGTACACCTATCTCAGCCGTGAATACCCGCGCTGAGTAATCTCTCGCAAGATACTAGATTCCATATTTAAAAAAAAAAAGGAGGGAGATAGAGAATTTAAGAAATACCTATCACGGGAAATTCTTACGTAATTTCTCATATTTCCCCCACCTTCGAGAGTCGCGCACGTGCATCAAAAAAGAAAAAAAAAAAAAAAAAAAAAAAATTCTGA